TGTTTCAGGATGTCTTCCGAGGCCGACGTGGAGGTGAATACGTTTTTTTCGAGCAACAGCGTCAGGAATTTTCCGAGCATTTCGGGCGGCAACGTGTCGTAGCGGTCGCCGGCCCGTACGATGCGGTCGGTGGAAGCGCAGATGCGGCGGCAGTTGTCGGCGGTTTCCCGGTAATACTCGAACGATTCGCGTGCATCCGCTTTCAGCACCGCGATGACTTCCCGGATGTCCTGACGGTGGTTGTACTCCTGGATGGCCCTGTCCGTCCCGAAAGTCAGGACGATACTGGCCACTACGGCGATAAAGTTCGGGAAAAACGCTCTCCACGTTTCGGTTTCAAACAGATTCATCGGTTGGGTTCGTTTCATGTTCCGGCGGTTTCGGGGCCGGACGCAGGTTTGTCTAACGACTAAGGGTAATGATTTTGGCGCGGAGATCGGATGCGGGCCGAAGAAAAAAATCCCGGCGCAAAAACGCCGGGATTTTTTCGGTTATAAAGGATTCTCGTCTTAAAGTTTCGGGCCGCGGCAACCAGTTTCTTGCCGGCTTCGTTGCCTTCGAATTTCTTGAAGTTCTTGATGAAACGTTCGGCCAGGTCTTTGGCTTTGGCATCCCACTGCGCGGCTTCCGCATAGGTGTCGCGCGGATCGAGGATCTTCGGGTCTACGCCCGGCAGCGCGGTCGGAATTTCGAAGTCGAAGTACGGCATCTTTTGGTCGGAGCCTTGTCTATCGAACCGTCGAGGATCGCGTCGATGATTCCGCGGGTGTCCTTGATCGAAATACGCTTGCCGGTTCCGTTCCATCGGTGTTAACCAGATAGGCCTTTGCGCCGGAAGCCTGCATTTTTTTCACCAGTTCCTCGCCGTATTTGGTCGGATGCAGCGACAGGAAGGCTGCGCCGAAGCAGGCCGAGAAGGTCGGAGTCGGTTCGGTGATGCCGCGTTCGGTTCCGGCCAGTTTGGCGGTGAAGCCGGACAGGAAGTAGTATTTGGTCTGTTCCGGGGTCAGGATCGAAACCGGAGGCAGCACGCCGAAAGCGTCGGCCGACAGGAAGATCACCTTTTCTGCAGCCGGGCCTTTCGAAACCGGTTTAACGATGTTCTCGATGTGGTAGATCGGATACGAAACGCGGGTGTTTTCGGTTACCGATTTGTCGGCGAAATCGATCGAACCGTCCGCACGCACCGTTACGTTTTCGAGCAGCGCGTCGCGCTTGATGGCGTTCCAGATGTCCGGTTCGCTATCCTTGTCGAGGTTGATCACTTTCGCGTAGCAGCCGCCCTCGAAGTTGAAGACGCCGTCGTTGTCCCAGCCGTGCTCGTCGTCGCCGATCAGCAGACGTTTCGGGTCGGTCGAAAGGGTGGTTTTGCCGGTGCCGGACAGCCCGAAGAAGATTGCGGTGTTGCCGCCCTTCAGGTCGGTGTTGGCCGAGCAGTGCATCGAAGCCATGCCTTTGAGCGGCAGCAGGTAGTTCATGTAAGAGAACATGCCTTTTTTCATTTCGCCGCCGTACCAGGTGTTGATGATGACCTGCATCTTTTCGGTCAGGTTGAATACGACCGCCGTTTCGGAGTTCAGCCCCAGTTCCTTGTAGTTTTCCACTTTGGCTTTCGACGCGTTCAGTACGACGAAGTCGGGTTCGCCGTAGTCGGCCAACTCTTCGGCGGTCGGGCGAATGAACATATTGGTCACGAAATGAGCTTGCCAGGCCACTTCCATGATGAAGCGGATCTTCAGGCGGCGTTTTCGTTGGCTCCGCAGAACGTGTCGACGACGAACAGGCGTTTTTTCGAAAGCTCGTCGGTGGCGATGTCTTTCAGCACTTTCCAGCTCTTTTCACTGATCGGCTTGTTGTCGTTCTTGTATTCGTCGGAAGTCCACCAAATCGTGTTCTCGGTTACGGCGTCTTTCACGAAAATTTATCTTTCGGAGAGCGGCCGGTGTAAACGCCGGTCATCACGTTTACGGCTCCCATATCGGTTACCTGTCCTTTTTCGAAACCTTGCAGACCCGGTTTGGTCTCCTCTGCGAACAGTTGATCGTAAGAGGGATTGTGTACGATCTCGGTAACGCCCGTGATCCCGTACTTGCTCAAATCAATCTTTGACATAATTTTAATTTATTTAGTTAATGCTCCTCTTTCGGAAGTATCGTTCAGTCCGGTTTTATCCGGTAATCAGCGGCAAAGATACGTATTGTTACCAAAATAACAATTAAAATATTAAAAAAAATTATTATCGGTTCGCTCCGATAAATTTCTGTTAAGCAGTTAATTGTCGTTGTTCGGGGGCGTTTCGTTCCCGGAATCTTTTTTAAAAATCAGTCGTTCGGCCAGCCGGGCGAGCGGAATCCCCGCCAGCGCTCCGGCCGAATTGGCCGCGAAGTCCAGCCAGTCGGCGCTCCGGTCGAAGTACTCCCCTTGCAGCAGTTCGATGGTTCCGGAAAAAATAATGGCGCACAAGGCGACCCAGATCCGGTTTCCGCGCGACGGTTGCAGCCACAGCAGCACAGAAGCACCTGTCCGAGATAGAAACAGAAGTGGACGATCTTGTCGAAATGGGGGATCCGGGCCAACCATCCCATCGGGGGCAAATCGTCGCCCGGACTCAGCGACCCGTAGAGAATTACCGCCGTCCAGACGAAAAAAAGGACCCCGGCGACCTTTATATGTCTCTTTTTTTCCATATTTTTGTAATCATCGGAATCCGTGCGGAAACCGCCCGCAAAGGTATGCATAATAACCGTACGGATCGTTTTAATACCCCAGATTTTATGGCCGGCATTACATTCATATCCCGTTTTGCAAAAGTAAATGCCATTACTGCGATTTTATTCCTGCACGTTGCTTGCCAAAAAAGAGGCCGTGCTCGCTGCCGTTGCGGACGAGTTGGCCTGTCGTGCCGGTTTTCTGCAGGGGCGAACCGGTGCGGACGGTTTACGTCGGCGGCGGCACGCCGTCGCTCTGCACGCCGTCGGAACTGGGGCGTTGATCGGCCGTATTCGGGACGTTTACGACGTATCCGGGCTGCAGGAGGTAACCGTCGAAGCCAATCCGGACGACCTGACGGCGGATTGGCTGACCGCGCTGCGAGTCGAGGGCGTGAATCGGCTCAGCATCGGAATTCAGTCGTTCATCGACCGCGATTTGCGGTGGATGCACCGGCGCCACGATGCGGCATCGGCCGTGCGGGCCGTCGGGGAGGCGCAGCGGGCCGGCTTCGAAAACTGACGGTGGACCTGATTTACGGCATCCCGCAGATGAGCCTCGCGGAGTGGGAACAAAACCTCGGACAGGCGATCCGGCTCGGCGTACAGCATATTTCGGCCTATCACCTTTCGGTCGAGCCGGGAACCGTTTTCGGCAAACGCCTGCGCCGCGGCGCGTTGCGCGAAATCGATCCGGAACGGAGCGTAGCGCAGTACCGCTTGTTGCACGAGATGCTGACCGGAGCCGGGTTCGAACATTACGAGATTTCGAATTTCGCCCGGACGGGATTCCGATCGCAGCACAACGGCAATTACTGGAACGGCACCCGTTACCTCGGCGTCGGGCCGTCGGCGCATTCGTTCGACGGGGCGCTCCGGCAGTGGAATGCGGCGGACGTGCGGCTCTACTTGGAGCGCGAACCGCGGCAGGAGCATTTCGAAAGCGAAACGCTGTCGGAACATGCCGCCTACAACGAGTTCGTGATGACGTCGCTGAGGACGGCGTCGGGGCTCGACGCCGACGTGCTGGAACGCCGATTCGGGGCACGGAAATTGCAATATTTCACGCGGCTGGCCGTTAAATTTCTGGCCGAAGGGACGCTGGTACGCACGGGCTCCGCGTATCGCATTCCGTTTGAACACTATCTGATTTCGGATACGGTGATATCCGATCTTTTTATGTGGAATGACGCCGGGATTCCGGAAACAAAACGTATCTTTGTTAGGAACGTTAAATTGAAAATCAAGTATATCTAAAAATAGATGAAAATGTCAAACAACGAAGAAGTTAAGAAGATGCCCGACTATCTGTTCGAGGTGAGTTGGGAGGTGTGCAACAAGGTCGGCGGCATCCATACCGTGATCGCAACCAAAGCGTTGACAATTTCGAAACAGCTGGGAGACCATTACATCCTGATCGGACCCGACGTGCACCGCGAGGATGTCAACCTCGAATTCGAGGAGGACCCGGCGCTGCTCAAGGAGTGGAAACAAGTGCTGTTCGCCAATCATAACATACGGGTCAAGACCGGCCGGTGGAAAGTCAAAGGGAAGCCGTTGACGATCCTGGTCGATTTCAGCCAGTTTTTCTCGAGCAAGGACGATGTGTTGAAATTCCTGTGGGAGAGTTACCGGGTCGATTCGATCAGCGGGCAGTGGGATTATATCGAGCCCGTGCTGTTCGGTGCGGCGGCCGGCAAGGTGATCGAGAGCTACGTGAATTATTTCTGTTCGGCGACCGACCGGGTGGTGGCTCATTTCCACGAATGGATGACGGCCAGCGGCGGATTGTACCTACAGAAACATTCCCCTTACGTCGCCACGGTATTTACCACCCATGCGACGGTCATGGGGCGTTGTATCGCCGGCAACGGACTGCCGCTGTACGGCGATATGACGCGGTTGAACGCCGACGAACTGGCGCGGCGGTTCAACGTGGTTGCCAAACATTCGCTGGAAAAGACGTCGGCCGCCAATTTCGACTGTTTCGCGACGGTCAGCGACCTGACGGCGCGCGAGTGCCGCTATCTGCTCGGCAAAGAGGTCGACGTCGTTACGCCGAACGGCTTCGAGGACGACATTGTCTGGGAAGAGGCCGAGTTGCTCGAGAAACGCGCTTCGGCGCGCAAGGCGATGATCGAAGTCGCCGAAGCCTGTCTCGGCGTCAAATACGACCGCGAACCGCTGATCGTCGGAACCAGCGGGCGTTACGAGTTCAAGAACAAGGGACTGGACGTGTTCGTCGATTCGCTGTTGAAGCTCTCCGAAGACGATTCGTTGCAACGTCCGGTGCTGGCCTACGTGACCGTGCCGGCCGGAAACAACGGGCCGCGCAAAGACTTGCAGGCGCACCTGAACGATCCGAACAACCCGATCGATCCGAACGTGCTGCGCAATACGACGCATTATCTTTCGGCTCCGGAGTGGGACCCGATCATCGGCCGGATCAAAAATTCCCGCCTGATGGACCCGGCGTGTCCGGTACAGTTGGTGTTCGTGCCTTCGTATCTGAACGGAGACGACGGGATTTTCAACAAACACTACTACGAATTGCTGTGCGGCATGGACGTGACGGTATTCCCGTCCTATTACGAGCCGTGGGGGTATACTCCGCTGGAAAGCATCGCTTTCTCGGTGCCGACGATCACTACGTCGCTGACCGGGTTCGGCCTGTGGGTCGACGGCAAACTGAAAGAACACAAGGGCGTCGACGTGATCGCGCGCAACGATACGAACGATTCGGAAGTAGTTGCGGCCATCTCGGACGCGCTGAAAAATTATTGCGCGATGGATCGGCAGCAATACGATTCGTACCGGGTGTCGGCCCTTGAGATATCGAAGATCGCGCTGTGGAAAAACCTGATCGAATTTTATTACGAGGCGTACCGGAAGGCCAACGACCGGGCGACGACGCGGAACAACCGCGCCGCATACGACGGGGGCGGCGCGCATACCGAGCAGATCAACTTCGTCAAACAACAGTTGGTTAGCAATACCCCGTCGTGGACGCGTCTGATGGTCGAACGCAAGCTGCCCGAACGACTGCGTCCGTTGGAAGAACTTTCGAAAAACCTGTGGTGGTCGTGGACGATGAGCGCTTACGAGCTGTTCGAATACATCGACAACGTGCTGTGGGTCAAATGCGAAAAGAATCCGATCGACTTTCTCGACAAGCTGACCTATTCGCGGATTCTGGCGCTTGAAAAAGACGAAATATTCCTCGGCAAGATGGATGCGGTGTACGCGCAGTTCGAGGATTATATGCGGCAGAAAGCCGATGCCGAAGGGCCGAAGATCGCCTATTTCAGCATGGAGTACGGACTGCACAGTTCGCTGAAAATCTATTCGGGCGGACTCGGGATTCTGGCCGGAGATTACCTGAAAGAAGCCAGCGACAAGAACGTGCCGATGGTGGCGGTCGGATTGCTGTACCGTTACGGTTATTTCACGCAGCGGTTGTCGGCTTCCGGCGCTCAGGAAGCCAGCTACGAGGCCCAGAATTTCCTGAAGCTGCCGATCACGCCGGTGCGCGACGAGGAGGGGAACTGGATGGATATCCGGATCGCTTTCCCGGGACGGGACATTACGGCGCGCATCTGGCGCTGCGACGTGGGGCGCACCGAGCTGTATCTGCTCGATACCGATCACGACCTGAACCAGGAGGAGGACCGTTCGATTACGTTCCACCTGTACGGCGGCGACTGGGAAAACCGGCTCAAGCAGGAGATGCTGCTCGGCATCGGCGGTATCCGGGCGTTGCGGGCGCTGGGCATTCGGCAGGATGTGTACCATTGCAACGAAGGCCATGCGGCTTTCACCGGGATCGAACGGATCCGCAACCTGATCCACAATAAAAAGCTGTCGTTCAGCGAAGCCCTGGAGGTGGTGCGTTCGTCGTCGTTGTTCACGACGCATACGCCGGTTCCGGCCGGACACGACGCTTTCCCCGAATCGATGATCCGGCAGTACATGTCCCA